TTCATTGTTGGGATCTTGTACTTTTACATGACAGGTCTTGGTTCTCATTTTTTCCCCTTGTCCCTGCCCTCCCTTCACCCCCCTCCTCCCCTCCCCATCTACACTTTATTTTCATCTTTTCATTATCTCACATTTTTTTCTTTTCCCTTATTACCCTTCCCCTACCCATCCCACCTTCCCTACACCTTTAGGCCCTTTCTTCCCATTTCACAATGTCAGTTATCTTATTAGGGTCTTATGTATTATTATAGTTTATTCACACCAGAGAAACTATTCGGTATTTACACATGTGACTTATTTATTTCACTTAGGAGTATATCTTCAATATGTATCCATTTTCCCAGAAAGATATTTCTTAATGGTGGGTGCAATCACACCACGCAGACATTCCATGGACAACTGCCTTGTGACACAAGCTTTCTCATTGGCCCTCCACATGACAGGCACATTCTGGCCTTGTTCACATTCTGTTCATTGAACGCAGGGGGTGTCTGGGAGTAGTACACCAACAGAGGTGCAGTCTTCAGGTTGGTGCTTGTGTTCACATACAGTGAAAGGGTCAGTCTGTCCTTCATGGGCTTGTGCCCTGACAGAGCCTTTTCCTCCTGCATGTTACAGGCTCTGTTCAACATCTTCTTCTAGCAGAGCCCTGTTTCATCACAGCTGAACATTTGTTGAGGGACATATCCTTCTACCTTCATGAATTCTGTGAATTCTTTCTTGCACACTTCTGCAGCAGCCTTGTCGAAACCGGAAGCCTCACTATGTCTTATTACATTTAGGGGCCAATTCTCTTGTAGAACTTATCAACCCATCCTCTACTGACTTTAAGTTCATCGCTTATTGCACTTACAGAGGGGTTTTCTTTCAGTAAATCACTGTGCAGTTTACTGGCTTTTTCACAGCTCATAGCCTCACTAACACTGTCACCTACGTTTCTCATTCAACCACGCTAACAAGTTTTTCCACCTCTTCCAGCACTTGTGTCCTCTGCTTGGTTAAAATTGTTACTCCTTTTGTCACATCAGCTTCTTTGATGCCATCTTTATCCTTCAAAATTGTCCAGATTGTGACTTCACCATCATGTACTGTGAGACCAGATCAGTTATACGAATACCCTGGTCATGCTTTCTGTTATTTCCTTCTTCAATTCAATGTTTTTTTTTTCTTCAAAACCTTATCATTCTTTTTTTATTATTATTAAAGATTGCAAAGATACATGATAACAAGAAATTAAGATACTAAATAAAAATTTCAAATATACATATACATGACAGCAAAAAAAGGATATGAAATAAACAAGAATTTATGTAACAGACTAATCGAAATACATTATTTTGATATGATCTTCAAACATTATGTTCTTTCTCATTTTCTTATATTTTTTAAATAATGTAATTATAAATAAAACAAAGTTACATATTATAGTTGAGAAACTGTCCTCAAAATTTTATGATTTATAAACTCCTTGGTTTAATTGATAAATATCATATACTTGTTGATTGTACCACTTACATTTTCTAACAAAACTTCCCACAGAAAAAAATATACTTATATTTGAAATCCAAAAGCAGCTAAAAAAATTCACATTTTTAAGATCAGATTTTTCTGTTTCTATTTTATTATATCCCATACTTATTTTTATTATATTGCATAAGCATGATGGTAAATTTAACACCAATAGATATGTAATATTCTTCCCAAACGAATGACTATGAAGTCAAGCATATAATTTAAAGAAATCATAAGGTTGCCAGAGAAACCATCAATATGCCAAATGTGCACAATCCTACCACATTCATGCCCATGTTTCTCATTTAATAGTGCACACATATATGTAAAAACATATCCCCCACACATATACAAAATGCATATTTTCTATAATACAATATATACTTAGGTATAATAAAATAGTGCAGTGATGTGAGGAATGTTGGTGATTTGTATAATTTGAGAAAAAACAAATATCTTTGAAGGAGTTGAAGAATTTGTAATATGTATCAGATACTAAATGATATTAATGATTAAGTATAGTTATAATAAAATTTACTTAAAAATTAATATTTGTCATCAGTAGAAAATAAGTACAAAGATATATTGATAACATAATAACATTTGTCTTAACAAATTTCCAACCAAACAAGCTGTAGTGACAGAAAAGGAAGTTTGCAGAAAGCAGAGACGAAAGAGGAAAAGGATGGATGGACCTTAATACTTTTCATACAACTCATAAATACAGATTTCATAAATTCTCAAATAAAAAAGCAAAGAAAATGAGAACCAAAATAACTCATCAATTTGGTAGATCAACATATAGAGACAAGAATTAATGTATTGATAAATTTTAAAAATATGAAATGTAAAGCCTGAGATTTAGCTCAATAGTGCTGCACCTGCCTAGCCAGAACAATGTGCCGAGTTTAATCCCAAGCATCAGAAGAAAAAGAAAAAGGAAAAAAAAAAGAGGAGGAAAAAAAAAGCACATATACTTTGACATACTCAATAAATTAAAAATAAATTATTTGTTATCTCTTCCTCTTGAATTGTTCCCTTCACAAGGATGTAGTGAACTTCTTTGTCTCTTTCAATCAGTTTAAGTTTGAAATTTACTTTGTCTGTGAATAAGATTGCTAGCCCTGCTTTTTTTTTGCGGGGAGGGCTCCTGTTACATGAGGAAGCTTTCTGTCCTTTCACTTTCAGTCTATGGGCTTCTTTTTACACTAGACGTGTCTTGAACAAAACATATTATTGGATCTTGCTTCTTAATCCATTCTGCTGGTCTATTTCTCTTGATTGGTGAATTGAGGCTATTAATATTGATGGCTATACCCGATATGTACTAACTTATTATCTTTTTTTTTTTTCACCTTCTCCTTTTAGTTTCTTGGCTTGCCTATTTGATTTGCTCTGTTGAGACTCATTGTGTTGTTACCTTCATTGTCTTTTAATAGGATATTGCTTAGAATTCGTTGTAGTGCTGGTTTGGTATTCATAAAGTTTCTCAGGTGTTCTTTATCCTGGAAATAGCTTACTTCCCCACCCATTTTAAAAGAAAGTTTTGCAGGATACTATGTTGGAGGTTGTTTTCTTTTAGTCCTTGAAATAGCTCATTCCAGGTTCTCCTTAACCTAAGGGTTTGTATTGAAAAATCTGCTGTAATTCTGATAGGCTTTCCTTTGCATATAATTGTTTCTTGTCTCTTACTGCTTATAGTATTTTGTTCTTCTGTTGGGTTTCTGGAATCTTGATTATTATATGTCTAGGTGTAGATTTTTTTTTGATCACGGCTAGTTGGAGTCCTATATGCCTCACTTATCCGCATGTCAAATTCTTCCCCTCTATTTGGGAAGTTTTCTATAATTAATTCTGTGAACAGCTTTTTTAAGTCATTTACATTTTCTCCTATTACTTCTTGAATTCCTATCAATCTTATGTAATTCTTCTTAGTATCGTCTAAGAGTTGTATCAATTTCTCATGATCTACTGTTTTTAAGAGGGCTCTTTTTTCACGGTCACTGACTGCAATTATATCTTCTATATCTGAGATTCTATCTTCGGACTCTTATTCTTTTGTGAACACTCTGAATGGAGTTTTTAATCTACTGGATATCTGTTTGAATCTGTCCTATGGATTCCATTTCTTTCTTGTATTGGGCATTTCTTGTTTCCAATTCTTTCTTATGCTGGGCATTCATGGATTCTATCATAGTCCTGAGCTCATCTATTTTCCTCTCAGTTTCTGTTCTAGAGTCACAAATTATAACTTTCATTTTGCTTGTCATCTCTATGATTATCTGGGAAATTACTTCGATTTTATTTTTCTCTAGAGCCTGATTGATCAGTTTTGATACTTCCTGTGATTTGAGTTCAGGGTGGCCTGATGGTTCACCGTCAGACTTTTCATACTTATTTGCCCCACTATTTGCCATTGGTGAAATGGAAGTCTGTCCCTGTATCTTGCTTAAGCGTTTTCTCATTTTTACTATTGTTGTTGGGTTATCCTTTAGATTATTACTTAAATCTTCCTGATATAGTTGGACTGCAGCCATGGGTCTCAAATGACTCAGACATTCTCATTTTCATCATACTGAAGAAAACAGCTCATTGAGTCAATCACAATCCTTTATCCTAATTGATACAATTAGCACCACCATATAATGAAGCACAATTTGTAAATTGACCACTTATGGTACTCATCAATCTATCAACTTCAAACCATGTGAATTTAATTAAGATCAAGAAGTAATCCAAAATATGCTTACAGTAAATAAACTTTTCAACAAGGATATTTACCATTTACAATGGGGGCTTAAAACAAAGTTAAGACAAGAGGAGTAGATAAGTATAAGAATTAGAGAAGGTTTCATATGAAGCCAAAAGATGTAGAATGACCAGACAATCGTCAGGAAATTGTTAAATTCAAAAAAAACAAACAAAATAGAAATATAGTTACTCCTGAGTGAGGTAGAATAACATAAGAAAAGAACATAAAGAGAAAAAAATAATAAAAGAAGAAATCTGAATTAGGACAAGAGCAGAAACAGAAAGAAAGATGAGGGATACTATAGGGGAGTAAGAGACTGAGTTAGAGAAAGAAAACAAAAAGAAAAAAAAATTGCAGAGTAGGATGAAAAAAAGAAAAATGAGTTTGAAGGGCCTCTTTCAGACTATATCACTGCTGTCATAATATTCAGCATGCGCTGCCATGTGCAGAGCCGAGTCCCCTGACCTCAGCTAGCTGGTGGCAGAACCCCACAAAGCAGACTGAGCTCGGGCTGCGAGGCCCAGACTGAGTTCCCCGACCTCCTGAAGGGCTGAACTCTACTCAGTTCTACTATAAGTTTCCCCCACCACTTCTTTAAAGATGTTCAAAGTTGAAAGTGCCAGAAAATACTCTTTATGACCACCTGTGCCTCTACAGAGTAGGTCCAAAGACTGGCACAATCAGGTCTAAAAGCGCGAGGGGGGAGTTTGGGGGCTTCGGGGGTGCCCCGGGTTACCTTTCTAGCGCTTAAGATGGCGGCAGTGGTGTCAGCAGGGGAGGCCACGGCCGAGAAGACCCTCTGGTGCTAAAGATGGCGGGAACTCTGCCGGGGAGGACGGGGCGAGAAGACCCTCCGGGGCGGAAGATGGTGACGCAGCCTGCAGGAGTGGGCGGGGCCGAGAGACCCTCTGGCGCCATGGGAACGCTGCGGGGAGGGCGTGGCCGAGAAGGCCCTCTGGCGCTGATGATGGCGGATTTAGCCTGCAGGAGAGGGCGTCTAGAAGACCCTCTGGTGCTCCTTCTTATCATTCTTGCTCTGCACATTTTTGTTACCTTCATCACCACTCTGCACATGCTTGACAATTTCATTTCTGCTCTGCACTTTATTTTTACCTCCATGCTTGCTTTGCACTTTCTTGGCAGCTGTGTTGAACTAAACAATACTGTACAGTACTGTGTGTGCCAAAAAGCATTCAAAAAAGCTTCACAGCAAGTGTGTCTGTAACCATGATCTTGAATATAGGAAGCCTTGACCACATATCAGAGTGGGGAAGATCGCCACCTGAGTGTGCAGGGAAGATGGCCAAAGTCACTTTTGTCACTTGATAAAGAGTTTGAAAACAGAAGCAAGATTTTGTTGAATGTTTCTGTCTGTGAACCAAGTTATTCATGAAGAGGCATTTGTGAACTGAGGTATTATTGTACAATAAAAAAGAAGTTCCATGAGACACATTATAATAATTAAAATGCCATATGTCCACCAAAAAACAAATTTTAAAACCTGTCAGAGAAAAGCAAAAAAAACAAAAAACCAGATATAAAGGTAAACCCCTTAGAATTATAGCAGACTTCCCAACACAAACTTTAAAGGCCAGAATACCGTGGAGGGAAACAACTTCAAAACCAGATTAATGTGCCTGGCAAAACTTTCTCTCAAAACAATAGAATAATAAGAACATTAAAAAGAACAACTCAAGAGATTTATAAATGCCAAACCAGCACTCCAGAAAATACTTAAGAATATTCAAGACAGATAAAGAAAGCCATCAAAGTAAAAAAAATCCAGATGGAATATCGCTACATCAAGCAAACTGAATAAATAAGCAAAAAAGGGGGACAAATGAGTTTTCAAAAAAGAAAGAATGAAATAATAGGAATTAGTCAACATCTCTTAGTAATAACTCTCAATGTTAATGTCCTCAACTCCCCAATTAAAAGACACAGATTGGAAGACTGAATCAAAAAATAGAATCCAAAAGCCTGTTGCATTCAAGAAATTCATATAATCTAAAAAGATATCCATTGACTAAAAATCAAAGGATCCAAAATAATATATGTACCAAGATCTTGAAAACAATCAGGGTACCAATTTTACACTCAGGCAAAATAAACTTCAAGCTAAAACTGATCAGAAGAAACAAAGACGGTCCCTAAATACTAGTAAAGGGAATAATCTAACAAGAAGAGATAACATTTGTAAATATATGTGCACCAAATGCTGGAGCACATATCTTCATAAAACAAATATGGCTAGACACAAAAGTGTCTAACACTAGCACAATTATAGTGGTTGGGCTCAATATCAAACTTTTACAAAGACAAAGATCATCTAAAAAATCAATAAGGAAATGTCAGAGCTGAACCACACCCTTGAACATGCGGACTTAAAAGCTATCTACAGAGTGTTCTGTGCTACTACAACAGAATACGCATTCTTTTCTGCAGCACATGGAACTTTCTCCAAAATAGACCATTTACTAGTTCATAACACCTGCTTAAATAAACATAAAAAATCAAAATCATCCCAGTTTTACTATCAGATCATTGTGCAATGAAACTAGAAGTCAATCACAGAAGAAACCACAAAAATTTATAAATATCTGGAAAATTAATACATTCCTTAGCGTCCAATGGGTCACAGAAGTCGAAGAAGAAACTAAACTATTTCTGAAAGCAAATGACAGTTCCAGTACAACACACCAGAATCTGTGGGACATAATAACAACAGTGCTAAGAGGGAAGCTAATTACAATCAATTCTTATATTAGAAAAACATAACAAGCTCAGATAAATAACTCAATGAGGGTCCTCAATTCACTTGAAAAGTAACAACAATCTGAGCAAAAAACTGAAATTAAGAAGGAAAATCATAAAGATCAGCAACAAATTGAAGCGCTGGTTGGTTGAAGAATAAAAAAATAGTAAACACTTAGCCAATAAAATGAAAGATAAATCCTTAGCCAAACTTAAAAAAAGAAAGAGAAAAAAGGCTCCCATCAAAGCAATTAGAAATAAAAAAGGTAAGATCACAACAGACACTCAAAAATTCAAAAAATAGTAACTACTATGAGAAATTATATTCCAACAACTTGGAAAATTTTGAAGAAAGGGACAGATTCCTAGATGCACACAAATTACCAAAACTGAACCAAGAAGACATTAAAATTTTGATCAATCAGACATGTTGATCAAGGGAACAGGATATAAAATAAAGAACATCCCCAGACACATGCAGCTATTTGATCTTTGACTAAGGAGACAAAATCATGCCCTGGAGAAAAGATAGCCTCTTTAGTAAATCGTATTGGGAACACTGGCTATTTGCATGCAGAAAATTGAATCTAGACCCATATCTCTTACCATGTACTAAACTAAAATAAAATCAAAATGAATCAAAGAACTAAATGTTAAAACAGAAACTCTTAACTTGCTGAAAGATAAGATAGGTAAAACTCCTGAAGTCATAGGCATAGGAAGGACTTTCTGAATAGAACACGAGTTGCACAGGAAATAGTACTGAGAAACAACAAGTGGGGTCATATCAAATTATTAAAAATCTTCTGCACAGCAAAAGGAGCAACAGAGTGAAAAGATAACCTACAGAATGGGAAAATATTCCTGTTATTACTCATACATAGGACTAATATATAGAACATACAGTGAACTCAAAAATAATTAGACCCTCCCCAAGATAAAAGCTTAGTGGTTCCACCGCCTACCTGGCAAGCACAAGGGCCCAAGTTCGATCTCTGGTACCAAACAAAACAAAAATGGGGAAATGAGGGCTGGGAATTTAGCTCAGTGGTTCTGCTGCCTGCCTCACAAGTGCAAGGTCCTGAGTTCTATCCCTGGTACTGAAAAATGAAAGAAAATTTTTAAAAATTGGCAAATGAAATGAATGGACACTTCCCAGAAGAAGATGTACTGTGGTTAATAAACAAATAAAGAGAGTTCAACATCTCTGGTCATTAGAGAAAGGCAAATTAAAACAACACTAATGTTTCATTTTATACCAAAAAAGAATGGAAATCATCAAGAAATCAAATAATACCAAATGCTGGCATGGTTTTGGCGAGAAAGGAACTTTCTACATTGTCGGTGAGAAATGTAATCTAGTATCATTATGAACATTATGGAGTTTTCTCAGAGTACTATAGTGAGAAATTCCCTTTGACAGAGATATACCTCTTCTAGATATCTTCCTAAAAGAGCAAAATGCATCATGTTACAGCAATACATACATATCAATGTTTACAGCTGCACAATTCCTAATAGGAAAATCCGGAAGCATTCTAAATGCCCATCAACAGACAAATGGATAAAGAAATTGTATTATCTATACATAATAGGATACCTCTTAACTATAAAGGATAAATTTGAGACATATGTAGGAAAATGAGTTCATCTGGAAAATACAACGTTAAGTGGAATAAATAAGACATATAAGCTTAAATACCATATGGTTTCTCTCACTTGAGTAAGCCAAAGTGTAAACAAAGAGCAAAGTAAAGGAAATGGAGGTAGGTCTTTTGCAATGGGAAGGGATCTGATGGCCAGCTGTATGCCTGTCCACTCCCACTTAGCCGTCCTTGGTCCTTGTAGTTCTCCAGTGGCCCTGGCCAAGGCCCTGACAACTCCCTTTCAGGAACAGTAACACTGTCCAGACTTGTCTTTGCCCTCAAGCGAAGAAATTGCCTTATGAAGGGGCTGAGAACCATCTTATTAACAAGGGCTAAGAGTATTTAAAGGTGGTTACATGGTTTCTAGGAAAAGCTCAGGCCCCAAATCCATGCGGTTAAACACATTGGCAAGCTTCTAACAAGCCCAAGCGTCACGGCCCCTGCAGCGAACCCACACTACCCTACATCCCGTAGGTCAGGCACAGCTGGTCAGATGTCATTTGACTTCTGTCATTCTCTATGGCACCCCTTGCTGTATAATCACGTGGGTTCCTAGCCAGTGCCCAGGCCATACCGATGGAAGAATGGATATACTAATATATTCCATCTTCTTATTTTCTTATTATCATTCTGAACATTAGAGAAATGAACACAGCAGTTATTTATAGGTCTCTAAATTTCTATTTTTACTTAGAAAATGCATACCCGTTGTTTCAATGGATGTATCCAACGATTGAAAACATTTGTAATATTGTGACATTATTAGTTTGTGTGTATCTTGGTTGTGAGAAGAAAGGGAGAATAAAATAATTCAGTTTTCCTAACTATATTATTATTATGAAACTAGGGATATTGATGAGAGGCCGCAGGGTGCTTATGGAGCAGGCATTTGGATTTTTAGTACAGCAACACTAACTACTGATTATCGAAGAGACCCCTGTGTGTCTAAATGAAGGGAGACTTCAACTACGTAGCCAAGGGAAAAGACACACAGACCCTGCAAGCTTAAATATTTTTTAAACAGCTGCTTTGCTGAACTGAGAAAGCCATAGATCGCTACCTCTTCCATCACATGTATTTTCGGGAAAATAATTTGGCAACCTGATTAACCCCCTGTGTCTTCTGTTACCTAAACTTAATGTTGTTAACTAGGCAATAGGTTATGGTTTTCATTTGTATTTCCCTGCCTCAAAAGTAGCAAACTGTTAGCATAGAGAACCCAAACGTGTGGCAAAACTGCAGTGTGCTCCACTTATGATAAAAGTAATAAGCAAATGGGTGAAGGGAGGGCAGGGACAAGGGGAAAAATGAGAACGAAGAGCTGTTATGCAAAGGTACAAGATCCCAACGATGAACGTAACTGTACTGTATACCTAAAATGTGCCAATAAACTCAATACGATTTTTTTAAAGTGATAAGCAACTGACTGGTGCCAGAAAATTACTACAGTCCCAACCTTGTTTAAAATAAATATCTATTTTTA